GCTTAACTCACACTGTGGTCTAATTTGGAAAAGAAAGTGGTTCTGCTTGGACACTGGTATTTGGCTTCTCATTGTGGCTGGAGGTGGTTCACCCAGCCAGAAACTAACAGGCTTGGCATGAGAGTACAGAAAATGCCACAGCAAATGCTAAACTAGACCTTTATTTATGACAGCTCTGGATGAGTGTTAATTATTAGCTGAACATAGTGTGTTCTAGAGGCTGTTTGCATTACAGCATGGGAAGGGCCAATGGCATGTAAAATGTGTGTGTTGGTAGGCAGAACAGCAAAGCAAACTGCTTCAGAGGACAAGAGGCTTTTCTTTGTTTCCCTTCACTAGATATGCAGTTTTTAGTAATGCCATGTAGCCATAATGAGGGATTTGCATGAAATTACTCAGGAGATTATACATATAAACATGACTTTTGTTAAGACAGGTTGGATTAACAAGGTGTTAGAGTGCAGCAGGTATATAGGAAGTGTTGACTACATCAGATATATTTCTTGCTAGTAGTTGTTTGGACTTCTAGATTAGGTGTTTTCTTGTCTCTACTGAATCAGCGTAGCAGTTTACAAAAGGGAAAACTACACATGGCATAGAACAGAGTCGTTTATTTGGCATGAAAGTTACTTGCTGTGATTTTAGGAATGATGGTCTGAAGAGGCTTTCTTTTGTCACTTTACAAAATAAATTGAAGTTTTAGCTCCATAGGGTTATAAGAAAGAAAGAAAGAAAGAAAGAAAGAAAGAAAGAAAGAAAGAAAAAGAAAGAAAGAAAAAGAAAGAGTATTGATGTGTTTTATATAGGACCCTATGCTGTTCTTTCAAGTACCAAGCTGCACGGATGTCTTACATTCTTTAGAGTCATGAAACCATTCTCTGGGCAGCATACATGTGTTTTATGTGTTTCTACTTATTTGAAATTAACTACTTCACATGGATAGCTATTTTAAAACAAGCTAGCACAACTTTCATTTTGATGCCTGTAACCATGCACTTTATTAATTTGGAATCTGACTTTTAATCAGTCTGCCTGGAAATAGAATAACATAATTATTTTCTTCTCTTGTTAGGGGGTGGAGAATGTAGAAAGGGAAAAGGGTCCTGAGCTTGCTAATACTGACCAGCCATTAGCAGTTTTCTGAATTCAGTTTTTCTTGGGGTTTTGTCTTTGTGATGTGTGAATCTTTGTACAATTCAATTATTTGAACATTCTGAGTTAAGTAACAGGTTAAAAAACCAAACAGGTGAAGCGTGGAAATGTAGCAAAATGAAAATCAATCACTTTGTAGTTGAATACTCTATGAACAGCTCTCACAGAAAACATGTGGAATGTGGTGCAACATCTGATTTATATAATTTTGAGGTCACCTCCTTATTTGGCCCTGAATTAAATGATTTGAGCAAGGCAGGCAGCCTCCCCTTTCACAGGAATGCAGGTTACTTTCCATAGCTGTTCCAGTTGGGTATGTTTGGTATTTGTGTCAGCTTTCGACAAAGATGTCCAGCAACTTTAAGTATGGTGCAAGGAAATATTTGCACTGGAAAATTGATAGAGAAGTCAGTTGCTGGAATAAAAGTATGCAAAAATTGCTGTATTGTAGGGCTAAATCTTGCTCTTCAAATGTGCAGAGACGGATTTCTAAAAGTCATAGCCAGAAGGAGAAATGTGATCAGGAAGCACCATATCCTTTCCATACTGGGAGAGTCGGTTTTCAGCCAGACTTTCCCTTCCTAAGATGGTGAGACAAGAGGGGGTGTTGGCAGCATGGACCAGCCTCACCCCTGTGTTATGCTCAGTCCTGGCTGGAATAAAGACATGCATACTTACAATGAGAGCATAAGGTATTAATGCTATGTAGGGCTGTGGTGGTGCATCGTTTAGGGGTGGGCTCACCAGGGTTAGGTTAATGGTTGGACTCCGGGATCTTAAAGGTCCTTTCCAGCCCAAAGGATTCTGTGATTCTGTATAAATGACTATTCTGGTGGATGTTAATTTCTGTCTCTCTTGGTACTAGATGAAACATCATTGTAAGGCTCTCCCAGGGCATGGGAAGAAGGATATTATGGGATTTTAGTGTCCCACATTACTTACAGGACCTGATCCAAAGTCTATCAACACTGATTTACTCCAATGGTGTCTGACCACAACCAGAATTTCTAAGTCTCCTAGAAGGAAAATGTTTGACTGTGTAAAGAAATGATTTAATTTCTTTTAAAGGATGATTATTAATGTCCCTACTTATCTGATCCCCCATCCTGATTGCTCTGTCATGTTCATGTTGAAGTATTTGCCTCATGTTTGTATATGAATTTCTGAGAATTTTGAAGAAGGACAAAAGAGATGTAGCTGTATTGTAAGTGAATAGAAACTTAAAATAGGATAAGCTTGTAAAATGAAGATTGAATTTGTGAGCTTGAAATCCATTTAACTCATCCAGAGTGCAGTACAATGCAAACCTCCTGATTCAGGGTCTGCTAGTTATGTGTACCACAGCATTGTCATGATCCATCAAACCTGCCAGATAAAGGGAGACTATTTTAAAATTTCTCCTTCAGGGCATGGGGAAGTAGTTCTTACAAAGATAGAAATTTATGATGATGCTAAAAAAAAATGCAGATGAAGTGAATAATTAATGAATTCACGACAGGACTGAAATATCTTCCTAAAATGCTGCTATTTTTAGCAGGGAGTTCTTCTGCAGTGCTTGTCATGTGATCCTATTGCTTTCTGAGAGCAGGAAAACAATTTGAATTAGTTTCTCTTTCCCCATGGACTTATATAAGTCCAGTATATAATAACCCTTAGCATCTGAATCTGCCTTAGGACAAACACAGATGATTTTAAACCTCATGCAAAATAAAACACTAATGAAATCTATACTTAAGGATAATCTCCTCTGCAGCAGATTACCTTTTATAATAGTTTGTACTTCTGAGGCTGTACAAGGGGAATACTGCAATGGGTGTAACTGGCAGCTGCTGCTGGTCTGGTGATGCTCAATGCGGCTGCGGTTTCAAGCTGGCAAAGGACACAGAGGCAATTATCAATAGGAGGTTGCAGTGTATGGCCCACAGATAAGGATTTAATGTGAACAGATTTGTGCTTCTTTTGCCTATAACCAGGTAGACTATTGCTCTGTTTGAAGTACTTTGAACTAAAAATGTCATAGTCAGAAATTACTCTAAAAAAAGCTGTCACATCCACAAAGGGATATGGTTACTGCCATAGTGAATTTTCAGGTGTTGAACATGTGAAACCAGGTCCTGGCTGGGATTTCTTCTTCCTGGGTGGTAATGAGGTAGCCAGTGACCATTAAAGGGGATATCAGGAGCAGCTTACTTGCTGCCTTTCTTGCCTACTGGAGTTGCCACAAATTTAATTTAGAAGAACCTCCCAAATCTCAAACCTTTAGGTGTTTGTGAGGGCCTGAGGAGGACTCTGTCTCTGCAGATCAATACCCAGTTTGTACAAGTGCAGAGGGGTGTTGGCTTCCTTTCTCCATTTGCATGGAGTTTTTTCCCCCACATGGGATAGTTCCTGGGTGGCTTCTGTAGGGTGTATACGGCTCCTTGGACCTCGCTTGTCCCCAGCCCAGGTGGGCTGCCCTGGGAGCAGAGTGCTTGCCACACAAAGCAGCAGTGAAACACCTGGGCTGAAGCACATTGGTTTGGGAAAGGGTTGTGAGCTGAGTCTCAAGCAGCCGAGGTGGCCCCAAAGGCATCTGCAGCTTTGAGAAGCTGAACCTTTGGTGATGGTAGACCTTGGGAAGCTCCTCGGTAAAGTCATGGAAGGTGGTTTCTTAGGGGTGCTTGAGCTGTGGCTCCTTAGTTGTGTGCAGGCACAAGTTTATGGCTTAGGTGCCATACATACTTTGCTGCATCTGGGCCTTGGTCTCTGTTTTCCCATCTTCATGTTCCAATCAAAAAGAGATGTTTTAAGATTTAATGTCTGTAAAACACATGCATTGTATGGAGCTTTGTAATAATTTGAAATTGATCCTCAGCTGGAAGCTGGATGTAGTTGATTGAAATGAGAACTTGTTATGAAAAATACATTGAATTATCACTATTTTTTTTTTCTTTTGCCTGGTGAAAAGACTATTTTCAGGCTTATTTTTCCCAGCTTTCCATCAGCTCTCCCATGATCACCACCTTTTTTCCCAGTAATTTGTATGAGTCCTTCCTAAAATGAATCTGGTTATCAGGTGTCTGTGTTTTAAGCACTTTATTAAGCAATTTTTTTGCAAGCAAATTTAAGCAATGTTAAAGATGTAGAAGGCAACACACAGACTGAAGAAGTGGGTCAACTGGAAGAAGTGGGATTCTGTGGTGGCAGGTGGATCTGATGAGCAGCTGAGATCCTCAGTGGGTCCTGTCCTCAGTAGGATGGGACACAAGGAAAACGCTGATAATGCAGACCTGGAGGGCTTTTCCTTGCCTACTTCATCTCAGCACACAGGGTTCATGTTCCTGTTGGGTTGTGGCTTCATGACACAAATAGTAAATCAAATGAAGGGTAGCAAATTGCTCGTCTTTAAATTAATGAAATGCATCAAGTTCTTCATGAGTTGAAAAGACATAGAGATTTTAAGACTGTAAATTTTGTAACAGCCCTGCAAACTGGTTCTAGTTTCCTTTATTTATATCTGTTTGTTTGAATGCCTGCACTCACCATTGTTACAGAAGTCCAGTGAAGTCTTGTGAGCTGCTTGGGAAGTATCAGAAATAAAAAGTATCTGCTTTCATCTTTGTTGTTACCATATTGATTTGGGCAATGAGGCTTTGAGAGTAATTTTTGCTTCACATAGGATTATCCATCCTTCTTACTGCCTCCTGAAACACCCAGCAATACAAATCTTCACAGCTAAAAGTGGGAGAATTGAAATAGTTTATTCTACAATTTATTATGCCAGTTTCAAGCCATTAAAACAGTGATTCTTTAACAAGTAGCTTATTTTAGTGGCTATCTCCTGACTGCTCTTTCTTTTCTTTCCACAGGAAAAATTAACCCAGGAGTGTGTATTCAGAGAGCAATTTGAAGAAAACTGGTATAACACATATTCATCAAATCTATATAAACATGTGGACACTGGAAGACGATACTACGTTGCGTTAAATAAAGATGGGACTCCAAGAGAAGGGACTAGGACTAAACGGCATCAAAAATTTACACATTTTTTACCTAGACCAGTGGACCCTGAGAAAGTACCAGAACTATATAAGGATATTTTAAGCCAAAGTTGACAAAGACAATTCCTTCACTTGAGCCCTTAAAAAGTAACCACTATAAAGGTTTCATGCGGTGGGTTCTTATTGATTAGCTGTGTCATCACATCAGCTCCACTGTTGCCAAACTTTGTCGCATGCATAATGTATGATGGAGGCTTGGATGGAACATGCTGATTTTGTTCTGCACTTAAAGGTTTGTCCTCCTGGAGGAGAGCCTATGCCCACTCGCTTGATTTAGTACGAGAGGGAGCGCGAGAGAGTGAGTGCGAGAGAGAGAGAAAGGGAGAGGATGAATGGGAGTGAGAGCGCGAGAGAGGGGAGCCAAGGGGAGGAGGAGGGTGAGGAGGAGGAGGAGGAGGAAGGCCTGATGCATGCTGGGGAATAGACACGCTTTTAAATTTTTGATCAGTTGTACTTCGTCATATATCAGCATAGCTGCCATACTTCGATTCATCAGGATTTCTGGCTGGTGGCCTGCTCAAGTGTACGCTGCATTTACAAAGGCATGGAGGGTGCAGTCTTACTTAAACAAGAGACTTTTCAGTTAATCGCTCTCTGGGTCTCACCCCACTGAGTTTAAAGCAAAGACCTCTTAGTAAAAAAAATAAAAATAAAAAGTTAAATTTATTTATAGAAATTCCAAAGGCAACATTTTATTTATTTTATATATTTATTTATTATATAGAGTTTATTTTTAATGAAATATGTACAGGCCAGATAGGCATTTTGGAAGCTTTAGGCTCTGTAAGCATTGAAATGGCAAAGGCCACTATGAACCTGTGGTAAATTCATGCAAGTAAATATAAAGGTGCATGGATAAAAAAAAAAAGCCAACAATAAAAAGGTAATAATAATAAATTCTAGTGACCCTCATGTACTAAAGGCGACAATCTCTTTTGTGCCCGTATTATTGTACAAGTATGCACACCACTCATGACACTGAGTCCTCACTCTTCTGACTGCTTGTTTCATAGCTTACCCCAGAGGATTAAAAAGAAAACTGGGTCTTCAACTTTTTTTTATGTGTCTGTAATATTTCCTCTCTGATAAAGTGACTTCTTACATCATTGTAAATTTCACAGCTGTGGAAAATATAGGGGTTGGAATATATTCTACTTGTTAAAACCTATTGCAGATTATACCAAAGCTAAATGATAAATATGCTATTTTTTTTTCCTAAAGAGAATGCCAGAAACAACATAAGTAGTACCAACAACAATTATACTAATTTTAAGATTCCACAAAGAACACATAAATATTTCAGGGGGCAAAAACCAGGTTAACAGGATCACTCTTGTAAACATGTTTATTTGTGCACTTGACTATCTACTATGAAATTATACAAGTTCCATAGGGGTCATTGTAATACCTTTTATGGAAAATTGCTTTCAGTGTGAACTGTCATAACACATGATATTAGCACCCTTCCTAAAGTAAAACTTGCAAAATGAAACTAATAAATCTCTATCAATAATGGCAAAGAAGGGGACAGTATAAGACTTATTTTTATTGTTTTTCCTAAAGTATGTTCAAATATTCATGAAAGCTAAGTGAGGAAACAGTATATAGTATTTAAGGGTATGTAGCATTTTAAGATAAGCACACAAACACATTGATTAGCAGTTACCATTGGGAAATTAACCCTCAGGAAGAGGCAATTTTTTCCCTAATGCTCTGAAGAAAAGGGAAAAAAAAAGACACAAAACCCATGTGTTAAGATCCATATGACAAATACATTTTGTAGTTGTTTTATCCCTTAGGATTTCAATCCAGTGCCATTATGTTGAGTGTAGCCTTCACCACTGGATATGTTGGGAGCAGGGCTGATCCTGACACCCTGGCTGTCTGCATACAAACAGGGACTCCTTTGGAGCAGTGATGTAAAAGGTTGTAGCCTACTTGCAATTAAGAAATTTTTGCTCTACAGCACTCTTGTCCATCTGATTTATATTATTTGAAGCTTATTTCTGTTCTGGAAGGGCCTCTGGCTGGGTGTGCTGAACAAACGTTCCCTTCCGTGCTGAAGAAGGTAGGAGGAGCCATGTCTCAACCGGCGATATCAGTGATCTCAAACACAACATGGCGCTTTGTTGTAATTGTTCATGGATGATAAAGAGACGTAAATGACATGAGTTGATTTGTAGGATACTTGTCTAGGGACTGTTATTGCCTGGGAATTTACAGCCTTCAGCTGCAGCCCAGGCGTTTGTCTCCCAGCCTTTGGGGCTGCGGATGGTTCAGCGGCTCTGGGTCGGTCGGGTGCCGGATCATTCATGTGGGTGATGCAGAGACCGTAGGCACTCCTGGGCAGGACCAGGGCTCATTGCTCTGTGGTAAATGCATCAAGCCCACCACGAGGAAAGGAGGTTGCGACTCTCAGCTGTTTCAGTAAATCTGACATACACCAGGAAATTATTTGCAAAGGTTAAAATGACTCTGAGTTGAGGCCGCAATACTAGGCCACAGTTAAAGTCTTAATGTTAAATTGACTTGGATTTTTTTTAGTCATAGGCTAATCATTACTACTAGTTAACATGTTTTATTTAATTTATTTTTTTTTTGTATTTTTCTACAGAAAGGATTAAACTCGAGAAAAATGTTATGAGTTTATGGCAGTCCTTCTAAATAAACTGTAACCGATTTACTCGAATAACCCGTAATGGTGTGTAAATACTGACTTTATGTAAATATAGAAACATGTAATTTAACTTAGGCATTATTGCAAGACTGGAAGGCCCAGGAGCTGGCAGTTTGCCACTCCCTGCAGGTTCACTGGGTCAAATTTGGCCTGCTTCGGGTAGCGAACAACAGATTCTGTTCAGCCCCTTGTGTAAAATGAGCTATTTCTGTTTGTTTTGGGGTGGGGGATGGGCAAAACCATTGTCACCTGGGTGCTGCTCAGCCTCTTTGCCAAGGCGTGAAGGGGTACGGACGCCCTCCTGCTTCTTATGTGATCCTGCTAAAACAGGGCTGCAGAGAGCTGACACGGCAAAGCAGGGAGGCTTGCAGTGCCTCCCCTCCTGTGCTGTGCACAAACAGAAGTCTTCACCTTCTAGTGCTGTCCATCTGGCACCTTTCTCGAGCTCTAAAATTGACTTGAAGAAAAATCTGAGGGAAAAAGAAAAGAATGATTGGTGTTATTTTTACTTGGTATTCTGTAATGGTGTGTAAATACATACAGAATTCTGTAATTTGTATAAATATATTGCTATAGAATTTTGAAAGTTGGTATTATTTGCTTGATGTCCCTTCAGAGCATTTTCTTATAAGTGCATATGTGTAATAGTGGGATGGCAAAGAGATGTCCTTGCTTATTCCTAGAAAGAGTGTGAGAATATTCCAGGAAAACAAAAATCATCAACGTTTTCTATGCCTTTTTGCTAATCTGGAAAAAAGCAGGGAGGTGTCTTTTTGGCAAGAACTGTGTTAGCATTTCACCTGAAGCAGAACTGTCTGGGCAAGCAGTATGGCCCGAAAGATGATGGAGATCCAGACCACTGTTATGATATGGGCTGGTGTGGAGCTGCATTTGGTAGTGTGTAAGGCAGCACTCCCAAACATAGGTGGGGTGAATGAAACCTGGCAGAGCTGGGCAGTGCAGAGTGGAAAGAGAAAAATCCTAGGAAAATTGCCTTCAGTTTCTACCAATCAGTGCAGGACTCAAACTGCCTGCCAACTGGATGGAAAAAAAAGGGTGTCTTTTGAAAATGACAGGGTGTAAGATGTGGAGGCTGGAGATGAGACTCTGGCCTAAAAAATCAAGCTCTTCTCTTGTCCCCCTGAACATCAGATTAATGTGAGTTTAATAAATATGCAAATAGGAGGGAGTTGAAAAGATGTTTCTGAGGCAGTTTCTTTGTATACAGAATATTGCAAGAGGTAAGAGAAGATGCTTCTGCAGCAACGCCTTTCACAGTCCCTAGTTTATGCTCTGCTCTGCCTCTTGTACCAAGTAAAGAAGTGTCTCTAAGGTTCAGCTCCGTTGCTCATGATTATAGGAGCAGAAATGGATGGATTGTGAGCCGTTCTGAAAACCTTTTTGTATGAACTCCTGTCCCACCTAGTGAATTCTCACAAGGTGCCCATGAGATACACAAGCAAGCCTCAAGATGTGACCAGGCTCCCTAAAACTGCACTTTGCTTTGCAGAAATTGAGAAGTTTCAGATTATTTAGAATTTTGATGAAAATCTTGGAAACTCAGATCTCTACTCATTTAGCTGTGTATGGGCAGGCAGCTGTATTTGTAGGTAAACTGGGGAAACAAACAGACAACCATGTAATCCTCAATATTTTATTCCACATGGCCCATTTTACTGTTCTGAGAATAAAACCAGAAGGCTTCTGTTTTCCAGAATTTTATCTCTGTTCTTAAAATGTTAGAGCTCTCCATGGGTTGTTCACAAGTCAGTTCTGTCCTGCCTTTTGTTGTCTTTCACCTTTCCTTCACACTGCAAGGTGGTTTTCCCATCTGGCCCCCAAGTAAGTTCCAGTAGTAAAAACTCATCTCCTCTTGTCAGGAAGCTGGAACAGCCTGCCCTAGAGTTTGTTGCTGAACTCCTTGGCATTGAAGTATGCAGGTCATGGATAATTGGCACCTTAAATCTAGGCCTCAAAAGACAATTAGTGATTAGAAAAAAAATGTTGTGAAGTTGCCTTGCAAGATGCCAGAAGTTTGAAAACAGAAAATATTTAATGGTGTTCTGGAAATTTTAAGTGAGGATAATAACCAAATTCCACCTGCAAAGTAATTTATAAAACCCAGTGTTTTTCTTTTTTCCCCTCATGGTTTTCTAACTTTAATATCTTTTGTGTGTGTTTTCTTCTACCAAATGATAGTGAAAGTGATTCTTTTATTTTTTCATTCATGATTTCTGAAGTCCAGCTGTCTTTGTATAATTTTTCAGGGTCATTCTTGTCTGAACCCTGGGGCAGGAAAATTGCCATGTGATTCTGGGTTAGGATAGAGCATGCATTGCAAAGATGCTGCTCTTGTGCTCAGAGTAGCTGTTAACAGTCCATAGGATGACCTTTTCCTACCATATCTATTATGTGGAGGGTTACAACATTAATCGCACTTTAATAGTTTGTATGTTGTTGTTATCATGGGAAAAAATCTTTCCAAATGATCCTCAAGTCATGCCAATAGGTTTATTAAACCTATGTCTGTTGCTTGAACAACCTCTCATAAATATCTTGTCACAGAGAGCTGTGTATAAAATAAATTTTAGTTCTATATTGTTTAGTGATGCAAAAGAAAGCACCCCCCCAAAAAAAAAACCAACCTCCCCCCCAAAAAAAACAACCCACCAAAAAACAACAACAAAAAACTCCCCCAAAACCTCCACAAGCCCAAAAAGCTGCCCTTTAGGTTGGGGTTTCCCAACATTTTCCTTTAGATTGAAGTAAATTATTTTTATGTGCATCACTCTCAGCTAGCAACTACATAGCCAAAAGAATTCTGGAATTAGACTGAACTGTCAAAATGTTTCTCACATTTCTGTTTTCTTGAGAAATCACAGGCCGTCAAATTATGGTGATATGCAAAATATGCCCTGTAGATATTTTTTTCCATGTCCAGAGGGTCTGGATTTATGTATATCTTACAGTTGGAGGCAGTCAGTCTAGGTGAAAAGAGC